CATGACACTGCATTTCTTTTTTAACCAGTCTTTGTTTTAAATAGGTTGGAAAAAAGTATTTGGCACCAGGTTATGCAGGAAAGAAAGTTATTTTAACTGTCTATTGAGGACATGTTTTTAAAACAGGAAAAAACAGCCATGAGTTGATAATAGTTCACTGCAAAGGTTAGCACAACTAAAATGGTTTTGCCATCTTTTTTAAATGGAACACAACATGCTATACAAATTCACAGTTTAAGAGCTGCACTGTGTAACAGGATAATTTTCTTTCTATGAAGTTCTGGTTCTAATTTGAAATATATGTTAGCTCATTTCTTACATGTGAACTAAGACTAAGGAAAAAAAGAAAAACCATGTTTAAGCTAAGATGACCTTGCTTATCTATTAAAAAAAACACTCAGGACAACTAGAAGAAACCAAGAACTCTTTAGAAAAGAAGACTGTGTCCACTAATTTTTACTATATACCACTATATGCTTGAATATATACACTAGAGCAATATTTTTATCAAATATTATGACACATGCACAAACCTTTTTAACTTGAATCTTTGGTTTTATTATACAAACTGCAGGTTTAAAGACTTTGAATCACAAATTTGAAATTTATTGACTCATCAAATTGTAAATTCAAATTGTATAATTCATTCACGTGATAAGTGTTAATAGGAGGGTGCTGTTTTCAGCTAACCACAGTCTGCTGTTACGCCTTATTCCTAGTTTGGACATAACAAACTGTACTTAGTATCAAAAGCATATGTTGTTGATCCTTTGATGGCCAACCAGAGAGGAGATAATTACTCTATTGTGCTGTCCATCATCTCTGCCTTTGCCAGCTATTTCATCATTGTCCACTTGTAATACTATTTCTACAGTGCTTCCCTACTTTTATTGCATTTCCTCATGCCCTAGTATTTTGGGGATGTATTCTCATCAGCTGGAGCAGTGGTAGGATTCAGCCAGTTCGTACCACTTCGGCAGAACCCGTAGCTAATTATTTGTTGCCCAGACCCAGAATGGACTTCCGGAAGCGGCATCCACACAGAGAATCGGTTGTTCACATCTTTGAATCCCACCACTGAGCTGGAGGCAGCTTTAACTTCAATGTATTATCACACTGAACGAAATCCCACTATAGGAATCGCTGCCACAGGATATATTTAGCATACTAGTAAATGATGTCAATTAGTAACCAAAAACAAAACAAAAGACAGGGTTATCACAATCTCAGGCAGTATGCTGTTGCAAAGGGCAGATACTATGACATAGAAGGCACACAATTGAATCCTGCCAGATAACATATTTAATAGAAGATATTCCAAGCATGCCCATCCCATTGGGTCTGAGACAGACAGAAACAATCAGAAATAGGCAGTCCTACAAGTCTGTGCCATGAAGGTAGTAACCAGCAGGTTGAATTATACCCAGAAACCTACTGGAACTAGTGCCGCTTGCAAAATAATGATTTTATGTGGGCTTATTGACTAAAACTATTACTCCTTGATGCCCTTCCTATCCCCCTTAGCTCTCCTGAATACTTCTTCCTCTCCAGTCAGGAGTGATGTGTAACTTGAAGAGCAGTTGACAAGAGGGCCTTTGCACGCCTCCACCTAAATTATATTACAGATGTGAGATATTTCCATAGGATAAGTGGTATCTTACATTATCACCAATTGGTAGCAGGGCAGCCTACTACTATATCCCATTTTTTTTTCTTTTGTTCATATCATTCTTTCAGTTGATTTATAGAGTCAGAACTGAAGAGAAAGTGGGTTTTTTTCTGGAGTTCTGCTATTTGCATTTAACCACTGATGAACACATTTGAGATTGTATTTTCAGATAGTCAGCCAACAGAAGCACAGCGGGTTCTTCAGAGAAGTGGAGAAATCTCAACAGGATTGTGAATAGTGCTGGGATAGGATTGTATACATAGATATTATGAAAGGAGAGCAGCTGAGCTTGTGGTGGGCATCTTGAGGATGATTAGGGTACAAGTGTTTTGTTTGATTGTTTCTCTGTTTTTACTATGATTGTTTTATTTATTGGTTTTATTGTTGTGAGCTGCCAGGATTTCTGAGAACTCCCAACTCAGATCAAGAAAAGAAAACCCTACTGAACATGTATAAGATTTCAAAGTACATTTAAATGGAATGGAACGGAGATAATGAAATGTTTTCTAATGCTTTGAATAGCCGTAGCAATTTGCTAGCTTTGAAAAAATTGAACCCAATTTTGATTGAACCCAATAAAAAAAATATCCAAGTATTTTACAATAACATTTTTCCAATAAACATAACTCAGGTTTCTTTTCATGATTATATAATAGGCGTATAATTGGTTTTAGAGTAATATAAATCCATTTTATTAAAAGGTCAGATTTTTGTGATAGGTGGTTAAGGACATTAGACAATAAAATTATTATTGTTGTACCACTATTGGGAAATAAATGCTATTAAGATTAAGTAAACATGCATAGGATGTTTACCAAATCATACGAAAATTACTTCATCTCTAGTCTGGTATGAATTATCTTGTCTATTTGGGGAAAAAAAATTGTCAGAAAGAGTATCCAGGGAGTCAACTGTTTGTTTATTGACATAAATATCATCCAGGTCATGACTGTTGGAGAAAAAAAAAAATCTGAAGATTAATGGAATACATGAGAAAATGCTACGTGTGTCTAAACATAGACACATACTGTACATGTAAGTATTTAGCTTTCTACAGTGCAGGGGTATTTTTGTATTACCAGTTACCAATGTGGCATATAAAAATATAGGTTTTGTGCTAATAAAAGCACAATATTGCTGTTGGTATTATTTCTTCCTATTTTGAGTGATCAAATGAAAGAAGTAAGGGGCCTGCTGAATCTTACTAAGGGTTGTATCCTGACTGGTATTCTTTCAAGGATCAGTCATATAGTTCTAGGATACAAATAAATGAACACAGGAAAACAGCTCTATCATCTCTGTTGTTATAATTCGTTTTTATTTTTATCTTTGCCACCCCAAGTTTCTTTGGTACACAGCCATCTATGTAAATCTGTTTAATACAAAAATAAATTTAGTTTTTCCAGTACCTGAAATAAGCAAGACAAAAGAAACCTTCATGGAAATCTCATATT